TATTTGATCCTCCCATTCCAGTATCTCCCTGCCCATTGATCCATAACCATCTATTCTATTTCCCCTTCTTAGGAAAACACTCCTCCTGCCCAGTCCCTTACTCTACACCTAACCTCTGTGTTTAGACATACTTATTGAAGAGGTAGGAGCTGACGTTCACATGGAAGAGAATACATACTAGATTTGTCTTTTGGGATCTGGGTTACCTCACTCGGGATGATTTTTTTATAGCCTCCATCCATTTACCTGTGAATTTCATGTTTTTTTTAACAGTTTAGTAATATTCCATGTGTAAATGTGCCACATTGTCTACCCAATCATCCATCGATGGCCATCTAGGCTGGTTCTAATTTCTGGCTATTGTGAATAGAGCAGCAATGAACATGCTTGAGCAAATGTCTCTGTAGTAGGGTGTAGAGCCCTTTGGCTATATGCTCAAGAGTGGTGTAGCTGGATCTTGAGGTAGGTCTGTTCCCAGCTTCCTGAGGAACCACCACATTGATTTATATAGTGACTGTACAGGTTTGCACTCCCACCAGCAGAGGATGAGTGTTCTTACTCCATCCTCTCCAGCATGAGCTGTCACTTGGGTTGTTGACCTTAGTCATTCTGACAAGTGAAAGATGAAATCACAAGCCAAGCATGGGGGCACACGCCTTTAATCCCAGCACTCAGAGCTGAGGCTGGTGAATCTCTGAGTTTGAAGCTAGGCTGGTCTACAGAAAACAAAATGAAATCTGGAAGTAGTTTTGATTTACATTTCCATGATCCTGATTACTAAGTATGTTGAACATTTCTTTGTGTTTCTCAGCCACTTGTGTTCCAACTTTTTTTTATTTTTATTTTTATTTTTTTTGGTTTTTCGAGACAGAGTTTCTCTGTAACTTTGGAGCCTGTCCTGGAACTAGCTCTTGTAGACCAGGCTGGCCTCGAACTCACAGAAATCACAGAAATCCGCCTGTCTCCTTCTCCTCCCGAATGCTGGGATTAAAGGTGTGTGCCACCACCTCCCGGCACATTCCAACTTTTGAGTTGAGCTAAAACTATCTAGTTCTGTGCCTCATTTTAAATTATTTGTTTTTTGCTTTGATTTGTTTTTTGTTGTTGTTGTTGACTTGTTTTCTTGATGTCTAGGTTTTTTAAAGTTCTTTACATATTTTGGATATTAGCCCTCTATCAAATGTGTAATTGGTGAAAATCTTTTACCATTCTGTAGGTGCCATTTTGTGTAAATGATGGTGTCCTTTGCCATATAGAAGCTTTGCATGAGTTTCCATTTATTAATAGTTCTTATTGCCTGTGCTATCAGTGTTCCATTCAAAAAGTCCTTTTCTGTGACAATGAGTTCAAGGCAACTCTCCACTTTCTCTTTTACCAGATTCAGGGTATTTGGCCTCATATTGAAGTCTTTGATCCATTTGTTTTTGGCAGGGTACTAAATATGAATCTATCTAGATCCTTCTACATCTGTCCAGTTTAACCAACACCATTGTGGAAGATACCTTTTTCTAGTATTTATTTCTGGTTTCTTTGCAAAAAAAAAATCAGGTGTTCATAGGTATGTTTGGATCTTCAATTCAATTCCATTGATAAATCTGTTTTTATACCAATACCTACCATGCTATTTTTATTACTATAGCTCTGTAGTATAGTTTGGGAATGGAGATGGTGATAGTTCTAGAAGTTCTTTTATTACTCTTTTATTACTACTCTGTAGTAATAGGAGCGGCTGGGCTGCGTCCCCGGCACCCGGCCGCCCGTATGTCTAGCTTATACCCGAAATAATTACACGGAAACTGTATTCTTTTGAACACTGCCTGGCCCATTAGTTCCAGCCTCTTATTGTCTAGCTCTTACATATTGATCTAACCCATTTCTAATATTCTGTGTAGCCCACGAGGTGGCTTACCAGGAAAGATCTTAACCTGCGTCTGTCTGGAGTGGGAGAATCATGGCAACTCCCTGACTCAGCTTCTTTCTCCCAGAATTCTGTTCTGTCTACTCCGCCTACCTAATTTTCTGTCCTATTAGGGCCAAGCAGTTTTCTTTATTAATTAACCAATGAAAGCAACAGATAAATACAAGACCCACCTCTATCAATTTTAGCTATCCTTAGGTTTCTGTGTTTCCACATGAAACTGAAATTGTCCTTTCAATTTCCGTGAAGAATTGTGTTGGGGTTTTGATAGAGATTGCACCAAACCTGCAGATTGTTTTTATTAGCCTGGCCAGATTCACTATATTAATTCCACCAATCCATAGCATGGGAGATCTTTCCATCTTCTGAGATCTTCTTCAATATCTTAAAGTTTTTATATATTATACAAGTCTTTGACTTGCTTGTTTAAAGTTATCCCTAAGATACTTTATTTTATAATTTGAGGCTATTGTGAAAGGCATTTGTATAAATTGCCAACATGACCACTCCACGGTATGGTTGAAGGAAGGTGTTTATTGTAGATATAGTGTTACAATGAGAAAGAGTATGAGTATCCTGGAGGAGAAAAGCCTGTGAGCTTCTAAACCTTTAACTGTTCTCAGGGAATCCCAATATGCATGAGGTGAACACTCACCAAACAGGCAGCGTACCATCCCATAATACTGATGACATGACTGCTTTATGATCTAGTAAGGGGAAGGGTTTTATTGTAGGAGAGAGAGAGAGAGAGAGAGAGAGAGAGAGAGAGAGAGAAGAAGATTGGATTGGACATGGCCATTAGACTGAACCTGACCATGAGAGAAGCAGAGGGGCAGAGCAGAAAGAGAGAGACAGAGAAACAGAGAGGGAGAGAAAGTGGGAGAGCAGAGAGACGGGGAGAGAGACCGAGAGAGAGAGCATAGCTGAAATAGCAGGGTTATAAGGAGAATGAGTAGCTAGGGTTAGTGAAGCCTGTGAGCTAGGAGTTTAGGGTAGGGGAGGAGGTAAGAAGAGCTTGGATGCTAACATGGACAGGTGTAACGGGCTCTTGTGATACTGGGGGAGCCCGGAGCCCAGCATGCACTTTGGCATGCTACTAGTCACCAGGCATTTGTTCCTTTTGCCTTTTAGAATTTGGGGAAAGGGAATTTCCTTTGGACCTGACAAATATCACATAGACAAAGACTGCCATCCTGGGATTCCTTCCACAAATACTCCAATGGTGATGGCTCAGCCTTAGCGGCACATCTTCCTACCCAAAGCAAGAACCATGCAACTGGGGCTAGAGCAGAAAAGCACACCGACACACCATACGGGAAAGGTCGGCGTTTTGTTATCTCCTCCTCTGATGCTCCTGTCAGGTCTCAGTTGCATGCATGGATAACCAAAGCCAGAATCACACACTCACTCCTTCCAACTCATCTGTGGATCTATTTGCCTCTGCTTCACTGCCAAGTGCTGTGTCATAGACTTTTCCTGGAAAGACAGGGCATAAACAAATCTGCCAACCCTAAAAGAGAGCCCACAAAAGACGAAAGTAATGACTGCACCAGCCGGACCTGGTAAACAAACGACTTTCTACCAGGGTTACAAACAGAATGGGTCACGGATATTTAGGAGGAACAGGAATGACTCAAAGGCAGGTCTGAGAATCTCTTCTTACAGCTGGTTGTCAGTCCCCTCCCCCAGCAGTGACTCCTTTTCTAAAGCGAAGGGGATTTCAAGAATCCCCCCTGTTTCTGCCCTTTTATTTTTAACAGGCCTGGCGGAAATGAAGATATTCTGGAGAGGCTCCTGTGTCTTTCAGTCTATCAGACTGAAAATAATGGACCCCAAAGGAAGAGGAATTTCCCCGGGAATCTCAGGCTAGACAAGGGAAAGGGCCCCAGCCAGAGGGAAAACTCCTGGAGATTTCACACAATTCTAACAACTTCTCAGACCGCTGAGATTTAAGCCCCGGCAGAGCTGGGTCAGTGGTGGGCGGAGCTGCACTTTGACCCGGACTGTTGCTTAGACGACGTGCACGTCCTTGTCCCTTTAACTTTGACCTCACTTCGGGACTTGGGTGGTTCCTTCCCTGAATCTCTGTCCCTCTTCCCAAAGTGCCAACATTGAATAAATCTCCTTCTTTTGCTTTCTACTTTTAAAAAGATTTACGTATTTATTTTACCTGTATGGGTGTTTTGGCTGCATCTATGTTTGTGTACCAGATGCATGTCCAGAGGTCCACGGAGATAACTCTAATGCTAATGCTCCTTCCCTCAGACCTTAGTGGCAACCCAGCATTCACTTTTTTTTTTTTTTTGGAGACAAAGTCTCACTGTGTACACCTGACAGACTACCTGCCTCTGGCTCCAGAATGTTGCGAGTAAAGGCATCCGCCACCACGACTGGCCATAAATGTAATTTCTTTTTAATCCATAAATAAATAGCCGGTACTGTACAGCACACGGTAATTCCACTATTTGGAGATCACAAGGAGTGTCAGAAGTTCAGAGTCATCCTCAGAGCAATATAATGAATTCCTGGCCAACCTGGGCTAATAAAGACAAAAGCGTCTACAGAGCGAGTTCCAGAACAGGCTCCAAAGCCACAGAGAAACCCTGTCTCGAAAAAAAAAAAAAAAAAAAAAAAACTTTAAAATGACGAATCAGCTCCTTTTGAAAACTCAGCCGCCAGGTTAGCACTTCCTGGACGGGCCTGGATTGGGCTGCCTGCGAGAATCTCAGCCAATCGAGATGGCGAAAGTGCCTGGCCCCGCCCCGCGCAGGCGTCTCCGCTCCTCGGAGGCGGGCTCTCCGCGTTCTCGGAGCCGGGTGTGCTTCCGGCTGGTGGCGGCCGGCGTGACGTCAGGAGGAGGGCAGGTAGGTACGGGGTGCGGAGCGGTCCGCGGCGGCGACGGGGGTGGCAGGACATCAATCCCACCCCTGCGGCTTGGCGCGGGAGAGCTGCGGACGCGAGCGGGTTCCCAGGGCCCAGCAGCCGTTCCCCGCCGAAGGCGCCCCTAGCCGTCTTCATGCAGAAGATGAGCCCTCCAAGCCCAAGTGTGGAACATGGTGCTTAGAAACAGTAGCTTGAGGGCCGGCGAGGCGGCTTCGCAGGCAGTGACGCTTGCGGCCAAGCCTGACGGCTTGAGTTCGACCCTGAGCATGGTGAAAAAATCCATTCTTGTGGGGGTGTTCTCTGACCTACACACACTTCGTGACACACTCCCCGAACACACAGAAAACATGGAATTTTTAAGGAGCTTGTGCTGCCCTTGCAGGGGACTGGAGTTCAGGTCCCAGAGCTCACAGCTGCCTGTAGCTCCGGCAAATCAACCCTCTACCCTCTCGAGCACCTGCACTCACTTGTGCATAAATACACACACGCACATAACTTAAATTAATTTTAAAATTGTTAGTAGTCCCATGCGTTTCCTTCTCAATGCTTAACACCTGCCACGACTCGCAGCCTCGGCAGCTCCATCCTGTAGAAAACTTTTTTTTTTCACCTAATTTCGGAAAGTGAGGCCCAGTGCAGCTGGCCCGGAGTGAGGCAGCTAGGAAGCAGCAGAGGGGCCTGTAGGCTGTCGTTTGTGCGGGCAAGTGAGGTCAGGAGTGATCCCTGGCTCTGATGTCCTATCTCATCGCTGAGCATGCGCCGAGCAGCCTGTGTGTAACCTGGCTGTGGTACTTCCGGCGGTGATGAACCACCTTAAGGCTTCAAAAGCTGACTCTGGAGTACAGGGCCAGCCTGGACTCCATAGAGGGGCGTGTCTCCAAAACATATTTGTTAAACATTGTAAAACAGACCCCAGACACACGCTGACGCACAAGCTGGGTATCTACACTATAGGCAGTCCCCATACACTTATTTCATTACAACAAGCCCCAAATTCATTCCTCCTGTCAATACCCCCCATTTTCAACCTTTGTTTTATTTTTGTTTTTTGAGGTAGGGTCTCATTGTGTAGTTCTGGCTGGCCTGGACATGCTGTGTAAAGCAGATTGTCCTGGAACTCAGCCTGTACCCCTGGTTCTGCCCCCTGAGTGCATGAGGCATGCGCTGTCATGCCCTGGACCTTACTCCCTCCTGACTGCTCCAGGAAAGTCAGAGACCCAGGCCGCTGTGACCCCAAACCTGGGCAGGCAGTTAAGTATTTGGGTGAAGGGACAGCAAGATAGCTCAGTAGGTGAGGATACTTGCTGCCAAGTCTGACAACCTGTGTTCCATCTCTGGATCCACTTAGTGGAAGGAGAGAACTGTCTCCTCCAAGTTGTCCTCTGACCTGCGCACACTGGCACGTCTGTACCTGGACACACACAATGATTTTTTTTTTTTTTAAAACTTAGGGGTGGAAAGATGGCTCAGCAGTTAAGAGACATACTGCTTTTCTGAAGTCTCTGAGTTCAGTTCCCAATACCATGTCAGGTGACTCACTGTGGCCTATAGCTCCAGCTCCAGGGAATCTGACATCCTCTTTTAGACTCTGGCTGTATGCATGCATGCGCGGATACACACACACACACACACAATTTAAAAATAAATCCTTTTTAAAAAATTCTCAAGTCGGGCAGTGGTAGCACATTCCTTTAATCCCAGCACTCCAGAGACAGAGGCAGGTGAATCTTTAAGTTTGAGCAAGGTCTACAGAGCAAGTTCCAGGACAGCCAGCATTCTTACACAGAGAAACCCATCTTGAAAAACCAAAACAGCAAAGAAAACCGTTTGTTTTAAATTGTATCTATTCATTTTTTATGCATTCATGTGAATGGTATATGCCATGACACACGTGGAGACCATCCGTTCTCTCCTTCTACCATGGGGGCCCCAGCCTTCAAGTTTTAAGTGGGTGGGAACCACATCTGAGCCTTCTGGTAAAGATCAAGTGTAAATCGTTGAGACTATCGGAAGACAGGTTACACTTATGTGTAATCCAAACTTACCAATAAAAATAAAATTGGGGCGAGAATGATGGCTCAGTGTGTCACACAATCCTGGAAACCCAAAACCCACATAAATGTGGAGGAACACAAAATTACCTGTGGCCTGCACTTACACACGTTGTGCATACACAATAATAGTTTTTGGTTTGTTTTTTTTTATTGATTTTTCCCAAGGTCAATCTTTTGCGTGCTATCCACCCTTTTAGCCTAGGGCAGTTGAGCAGGGATAGTCAGTGGTAAGAAGACAGAAGTGTGTTACCCATCCTGTCACAGCAGGTTTACCTGCCTGGGCTTACTCTGGAACCCCTACTCCCCTGATAGGGCTGTCCCCTCCTCCCAGCGTGACCGTTCCTTAACTTAGGTGAGTCTCTGTTGCCCATCCAGCGTTTATCTCACGACAGGGTCTCCTGTTGCACAGGCTGGCTTTGAACTCGATCCTCCTGCTTCCTCCTTCTGAGTGCTGAGCATGTGCCACCACACGCCTAATTGGTAGAACTCGGGATGTCCTGCATGCTAAACAGTCATGGTCACTATACTAACTAAGCCATATCTCTATCCTAATTATTTATTTATTTATTTGGTTTGGCTTTTCAAGACAGGATTTTTCTGTGTAACAGTCCTGGCTGTCCTGGAACTCGCTCTGAAGTGCTGGGACTAAAGGTATGCACCACTACTCCCCAGCTCTTACTTTTGTTTTTTTTTTTGTTTTTTGTTTTTTGTTTTTGTTTTTGTTTTTGTTTTTGTTTTTTTTTTTTTTGAGACAGGGTTTCTCTGTGGTTTTGGAGCCTGTCCTGGAACTAGCTCTTGTAGACCAGGCTGGTCTCGAACTCACAGAGATCCGCCTGCCTCTGCCTCCCAAGTGTTTAAAGTGATTAAAAGCGTGTGCCACCACCGCCCTTACATTTGTTTTTAATTAACTTATTCATTTATTTTTCAGTACTGGGATGGCTCCCAGGATCTTCTGCGTGCTTGGCAAGCACAGTCCCCAGGAGCTACATCTCCAAACTGTTTTAGCTTTTTTTTGACAGTGCCCATACTAGTTTCAAATTTGGACTCTTCCTATCTCAATCCTGTTATTCTTGGTAGCTGGGATTATAAGAATTAGCACCTGGCTCCAAGAAGTGACTTTAGATTGGGTGGTTGAATGAGGCCTCTGGCGTTCAAGAGGAACAACAAAAGCTACATCTTTGAACCTAGGGCTACAACCCAGAGCTGGGGCCCCTGCCTAGAATCCCCTAGTGAGAGGCAGGGAAGTGGGGCTCAGAGGTAGAGTACTGTCTTAGCCTTTGTGAGGCTGAGTCCATCCCAGTAGTTCAGGAACAGTCCAGTTGCCTGACTTCTGCAGATAGCCAGGAAGTCAGCTAGACCAGAACAGAGAAAGGAGAGGGGTGGGTGACCTCAGAGAGCAAAGGCTGGGAAGCAGTAGGCTCTGTAGGTTTGGTTATCAACTCAACTGAGAGCTTCCGGAAGCCTAGGGATCATGGCATGCTAGTACATATTATAGGAGACCCCTGCTGGGCCAGTGAGACTCTACATTGACTCCACCAAGCCTACAACCTGAGTTTGATGAAAAGTTGAAAACTGACTCCTACGAGTTGTTCTCTGACCTTCACATGCTTGGCATGCCATGCACACACACACACAAGCACATAACAATCAAATTTTTTTTTTTTTTTAGTTTTTCGAGACAGGGTTTCTCTGTAGCTTTGGAACCTGTCCTGGCACTAGCTCTTACAAGAGTTACAGGCTGGCCTCTAACTCACAGAGATCCGCCTGCCTCTACCTCCCGAGTGCTGGGATTAAAGGCATGCGCCACCACTGCCCGGCATAACAATCAATTTTTAATAGGAAAATGTAAAAGGAGCCCCTTGGTAGCTTCTGCACAGGAGCAGGGTGGGCAGTAGGAATTGAGGGCAGGGATAGCACACGGACCACCATCTACTTGATCACCCCAGCATAAAGTCTGGAGCCACATGCTTCTCTAAACTCTTTCTGTCTCCTTCCTCCCTCCCTCCAGGCTGTCCTTGGATGCTCCTCACCCCGTGGAGACTCAGTGCCAGGTCACAACTCAACCATTGTGAACTTCAAGAACTAGGAAGAGCCAAGCCAGACCGCCATACGGCCACATCATTACAGGGCAGCCTGTGGCCTCTGCAGGCCCCATAGGAGGGTCCACCCCACCACTGCGTGCATTGACCAGGCCACTTCCCAGTTGCACCCTTGCGAGTGAGGACCCGTAGACAGCTCCCAAGATGGTGAGTAGAAGATTCCCAAGCCTGGGTTCCTCCTAGGCACCAGCACAGCCTCCAGGCAGCCCTGCTTCTCCCAGCCTCCTGGGTGGTAGCTATTGGTGGCAGACATTTGCTGGGCACTCAGACCACCGCCCAGCAGGTCTTCTCTCCATCTTGATCTTGCTCCCTCCCTGCCCCTTCCCTTCCTTTCTGTTACTGTCATAAACTCCTGACCCCTCTGCCTCAGAGACCCACATCCTAGTGCTGGGATTATGCCTCGTTGCTGCAGAGCTGGGAGGGAAACCAGGGCCTCGTGCTTGCTGGGCAGGCACTCCGCTACTGAGCCGCATTAGCCACTGGGAAGTGTGAGGTGGTCCTGCCCACTCCGTCAGTGCAGCTCTAGGAGACTGTCTCCTCTGAAAGGTGTAGTATTAGGGGCGGCGGGGCTGCGTTCCCAGCACCCCGGCCGCCTGCTCGGCTAGCTTAGCTTATGCCCCGAAATAACAACACACAAACTGTATTCATTTAATCACTGCTTGGCCCTTTAGCTCTAGCCCTTACTGGCTAATTCTGATATCCCGATCAACCCATTTCTAATAAACTGTAGCACCGGTCTTACCGGGAAGATTCTAGCCTATGTCCATCCTGGGTTGGATCGCGTGCGGAGCATGGCGTCTCTCTGAGGAGTCTGCTCCTGAGACCAGAGCTGTGGAGTCTGACCTCACTTCCTCTTCCTCCCAGCATTCTGTTCTGTTTACTCCTCCCACCTATCCTCTAACCAATAAAATGGGCCAAGGCAGTTCCTTTATTAGCCAATGACCTTCCTCCATCAGAAAGGAGCCTGGACTGCTAAGCTAATCAGTAGTCTTTTACAAATGTATAGAATTGTACTTATTTATCGTAGAGTGGGCTCACATGCATGTGGTGGTCAACTCCTTCCCCCATGTGGGTCCCAGGCTTCAGATCCAGGTGACACCCTCAGCCACCGTCTCTTCAGCCCCATAGTCACTCTTTGTCCTTCCCTCCTCGATGTCCCGACACCCACTCAGCTGCCTCAGACTCTGAATCCCCCTGCCATGAGCACGTGTGCCATCCTGTCTGGCTTCACACGCAGTATGGTGTTCAAGGCAGGGCTGGCCCAGGACTCTAGGCAAGTGCTTTGCCCCTGCGCTGTGCATACAGCACTGGATCATGTGTTTTGCTATAGTTTATTCTTCAGATTGTATTTTAATTACATTTCTCCCATCCCTTTCTTCCTCCAGACTATCATATATCCCTCCCAGCTCTCATTCAAATACATGGCCTCCTTCTTCACCACTCTTTCTTATGTGGATGAAGTATTTGTACATACATTTGTATTCCCAAATATAATCTGTTGAGTCCATATAATGTCATGCGTGTGTTTGTTTTCAGGACTGACTGTTTGGCTGGACAACCCATTGGTGTGTTCTCCTTGGGGAGAGCTGCCTCTCCTGCTCTCAGCTTTCCTCTGTTGCCTGTAGCTCTTTGTTGAGGCCTCATGGTCGTTACCCTCTTTGGCATGTTTGTTGGTGTCCTTGTTCAACTCACGTTTGGGTGATCATGTGGTTGAGACTTTGCAGATGTAACTTCTGATGTTTCTAAGAGACACAATCTCACAGCAAACTCCCTGGTCCTCTGGTCTCACAACCTTCCTGCCCCCTCTTACACAGAATTCCCTAACCTTAGGTGTGGGAGTATTTTGTAGATGTACTCACTGGGACTGGGCCCCACAACTCTGCATATTGATTGGTTGTGGTTTTCTAAGAGTCATAGCTAAGAGAAGTTTCCTGGTTGATGGGTAAAGACTACACTTATCAGTCTAGATCAGCAGTTCTCAACCTGTGGGTCGAGACCCTTTGTGGGGCACATAACAGATATCCTAAATAGCAGGTATTTACATTACGATTCAAAACAGTAGCAGGATTACACTATTCAAAACAGTAGCAACAAAATACGGTTGTTTATGGTTGACGATCACCACAGCATGAGGAACTGATTAAAGAGCCCACCATGAGGTCTGGGTTCCATCCCCAGGACCCCATTAACCAGGTGTGGTGCACATTCATAGTACCAGCCTGGGGAGGGGAAGGCAGGAGGATCATGGCTAGTCTCAGCTGCATAGCACTTCATGACCAGCTGGGCTACATAAAACAGTGTTTTATAAACCTTTAGGAGTCAGTGGCAATCCCCACTTCTTTACCACTGCCTGCAGTCCCCAAGAACATGCAGACATGCCTGTAAAACAGTGTGGCCTTAAGGCATTTCCCAAAGCTATAACAAGTGGGTTTTCAGCCTAGTTCCCACTATAGATCAGAAACTGGATGGAACATTCAGCATGTCCGAAGGACCCTGCATTACCCTCTCTGACTCATGGCTCCCCTCTGTTTTCAGGGTGAAAGGAAAGGCCAAAACAAGTACTACCCCCCGGACTTCAACCCAGAGAAGGTGAGCAGCTTCAATGACCCCCATAGCCTCAGGGACCAAGTGACACTAGAGAAGACTCCAAGGTACCTGGAGGATGAGTGCAGGCTCTTCCCACTTAGCATGGCATTGCATAGAAAGCCCTGCTATAGATTACCATGCCATCAAGTAGAAAGTCTTTCTGTGGACTCTGGTGTCCCTGGGGGCTCCTGGAACCCCTTCCTTCAGATACCAAAGACAATTCTGTCCTTGGCTCCAGGCTATTTGCTTTCCCAAGCCGTCCACACCTCCTTTGTTGCTTGTAGGATGTAAGATTGAAGCCCCTTCTACCCAGGGAGACACTTGGTAGGAAGAGCAGTAGGAAGAGCTGAGGAACAAGCTACCCTAGCTTGGCATTGCTTACCTTCACTCACCCTTTCCATACAGCATGGCTCTCTCAACCGATACCACAACAGCCACCCCCTTCGAGAACGGGCTCGGAAGCTGTCACAAGGCATCCTTGTCATCCGGTAAGAAGCTACTCACCCCTCTCCCATTGATAGGCCCAGCGCTGCAAGGTTCTAAGTCTGTAATGCAGGAAGACATTGCATGGGTCACCCATTGCTGCATAACAGACATTAAGTATTTGCTATTCATAACAAGTCTAGGTACCTCTTCTGGGCTAGGGAGAACCTGACTCGGTCTTCTTCCTTCATTGGTGGGGCCTTGGCCTGTAGAGATAGACGGTTCCAGAATGGATCTTTCTTCCATCAGGCCAGCAGTATTATGGCTCCAGAAGAGCCTGCAAACGTGCCAGGACTCTAAAGGCCAGACCCAGACCTGCCACACTTGTCCCTTCTTTCCCTTCAATTGCCCAGTGTGGATCCTGACTCCAGGGCTGGGGCCAGACTCTTCCTCCGTGTGGGATGAGCCACAGAGTGATGTGCAAGGACATGACCACAGAAGGAAGAGTGGCCAGCCAGGGCCTCCCAGATACTAGATGACCTGAGGCAGGAGGATCACTTGGGTCTAAGAGTTCAAGAACAGCCTAGGTAACATAGCTAAAATATGCCTTAAGAAAAAGGGAGAGCAGCAATGATTCAGTAGGTGAAGGCATCTGTTGCCTAGCCAGGCCCCTTCATTCAATCCCCAGAACCCACATAGTGGAAGGAAAGACCCAAGTCATGAACGTTGTCTTCTGACTGCCACTCATACAATGGATAAATAAGTAAATGTAAGAAAAACAACATTGAAAATCCTTGTCTTTGCTTTAGATTTGAAATGCCGTACAACATCTGGTGTGATGGCTGCAAGAACCACATCGGCATGGGTGAGTTCACCATCACCCGTGACCTGCCTGCCCCTCCAGCTCCCCTGTGCCAGGTGCTCTGAGACACTGGAGATAGTGTCAGCCCCAAGGCCAAATAGGAAGATGGCCGGTCCCCAAGCTAGAGAACAACTAGAAGGCTAGACCCTGGGATCCAGACCCTGTCCCTGCCAGTCGCCAGAAGGCGACCTTTACCCACCAGCTGGACTTTATGCCTCAGTTTCCCAGTCTGTAAAGTGAAGCTGGTGTGAGGCCCACCCGTGTTTGTTCAAGGTGCTTCTTGCAGCATATGCTCCGGACAGAGGGCTGGGGCTGCGCTCCGCTCCCATCTGACTGCCGCAGCCTAGCCACAGAGTCAGCAGCACGACACTCGAGCAGTTGCCCTCCTGACTTCCATTTCCACCCTGGGATGTGGGACAAATGCCTCAGTTTCCCTCTGGTCCCACACTACAGCAGTCCATACCATACCATCTTCCTTTAATTTGATTTATTTAGTGTGTGTGTGTGTGTGTGTGTGTGTGTGTGTGTGTGTCAAAATTATGGAAGTCAGAGAATTTATGGGTGTCGATTCCCTCCTTCCGCTGCGCTGTTTGCAGTGACTGAGCTCAGGCCGTCCAGTTTGGCAGCAGACACCCTTCCAGTGATCTGTTTCACCACTCCATCCCGTCACATCTGGATTCAGAGCTTCCGCTGTTCACCATTACACCACTGCCTTAGTTAGGGGTTACCGTGTGGTGATGCAACCCATGACCAAAGGCGCTTAGGGAGGGAAGGCTTTGTTTCACGCACAGGTCTATGTAACAGTTCTTCACAAAAGCACAGCAAGGGCAGGAACCTGGAGGCGGGAGCTGATGCAGAGGCCATGGAGGGGTGCTGCTTTCTGACTTGGTCCTCATGGCTGCCTTCTTGTAGAACCCAGGACCACCATCCCAGGGATGGCCCAGCCCACAATGGGATGACCCTTCCCATCAACCACTAATTGAATGCCTTACAGCTGGATTTTACGGAGAAATTTTCTCAGTTGGCGGTTCCCTCGTCTTTGATAGCTCTAGCTTATGTGACGTTGACATAAAACTAGCCAGGACAACCACAGAACCTCACAGACGTGCCATCTTTTCTGGTTCCTGGTGGTGAGGATTGTCCCCGCAGCAAGCAGTTCTGCAGCAGCCAGTACTAGCCAAGCAGTCGATAATGCACTCGGTCTTGTCAGGCCTTGCCTCGTGATCACATCCGATCCCCAGAGGGGAGCACTGTTCCGAGGACTACCCCAACAGACTCTAGAGTCCTCCCCCGCCCCAGAGATCTTTTCCTGGGACTGACCAATGAATCCTGCTCAGAATTCCGCAGCCGTCTGAAACAGCTGGTAGAACTGACGGAAGCACATCTACTGGTTTATTATAAAGCTACAACCAGGCTTGGTTGTACACACATGTTATTCCAGGGCTAGAGAAGCGGAGGCAGAATGGCGAGTTAGAGGCTAGCCTGAACTACACAGTGAAACATTGTCTCAGAAAAGTGAGGGCTGGGTATGACATGTGGTAGATGTTTGTCCGGCATCTGCAAGGCCTTGGGTTCAGCTTCAAAATAAAATACATGCTCAGATGAATGAAAGATAAAAGATGGTGGATGGGTGTGATGGGTAGGTAATGATGATTGAGGATTGGTTCGTCATAGAACAAGCAAATGAAGCTGGACGATGATAGCACGCACCTTTAATCCCAGCACTCAGGAGGTAGAGGCAGGCAGATCTCTGTAAGTTCAAAGCCAGCCTGGTCTACAAAGCAAGTTCCAGGGCTGTTACACAGGAGCCATGCGTGCCCTGTCCAGCTATCCAAGAGGCCTCCATTGAGCCTCTTCTTGAAATGGCTTATCCTGGGTAGAGGCAGGACCCCTCTGCAGTGAGCAGATCTTAGAACCCACCACTAGGTAAGGACAGGGCCGGGATTCTCTTTGGATCTAGCATCAGGACAGAAAAGCAAGGACAGATGTTGCTATGGTAGGCTATAGGGCAGAGACATTGTGTCTGGGGCCTGCCTCAGACAGGGGTCAGCTAGGAGCCAGGAAGTGGGGCTGGTGGCCAGACGCACAATGCCTGGAGACAAGGTGACTGTAGAAAGGAAAAGACAAGGGAAGTGAGAAAACCTGCAGGCCTCAGACCACAGGAACAGAGAAACTAGGCCCAGGGCAGGTCTAAGACCCTGGATCCTGTTCCCAGCACTGAGAGCAGTGGGAGCTGAACCACTCGAGACACCATGAGCACCCTCCAGCCAGAACCAACGCAACTGCCCCAGAGAGGAAGATGGCCAGGCCAGGCTCTAAGTCACCCAGGCAAACTCCACCTTGCCTCTGCCTCCCAAATGCTGCAGTCTCAGGTGTACCCCCACATCCAGCTCTCCATTGACATTTCCTCCCAGAGTCCTGTGTCACCAGAATAGCCATCGTCTCTGTTGACTAGGTGGGAAACGGAGGCCCTGAGTGATGAGCTTTGCTTAGGGGCACACAGTGAAAGCAGGATTGGAATCTGGGCCTTCCTGGTCCCGTCCACACTTTCCTATGGCCTGGGTACTCCAGTGCCTCCCAAACTTCGTTCTTCCTACCTTGAATTTCTGTGCCCTCCCTTCCAGGGCACCTGCCCTGCCAGGCAACAAACCACCAGCTTCTCCTCCACCCAGAGAAAAGCTGATGCAGGTGCCTTGGTCCCAGCCTCTATCTCCCTGCCCTCTCAGGTGTGCGCTACAATGCAGAAAAGAAGAAGGTTGGCAATTACTACACAACTCCAATCTACAGGTAGGAGCACCTGGTGGCACCTTAGGACAGGTATGCCGTCACAGGTTAAAGGGTCCATAGAGGAGTCTTGAAGGGGAAGGGAACTTGGCATCTTCCTCTAGAGCCATTCTCTGTATAACTGTCCATCTTGGCCTGTCAATCAGGGTTTGTCCCTTCCTCCTCCAACCCTTCATGGCCCCCACCTTTCCCAGTAAAAGCTCAGGCCCCTCATTCACTCTGCTTCAGGCCATGAGGCCTCTGCTCCAGGAAGCTAAATGGCCCCATCCCTGTGCTACTCAAACACTACCTTCAAAGGGACATTTTCTTTTTTTTTTTAATAAATGATGGGTTATATTTGTTTTTTATAATTTTATTTTTATTTTATGTGCTTTGGTATTTTACCTATATATATTTCCGTGGGAGGGTGTCAGATCTTGGAATCTTGGAGTTACAGACAATTGTGAGCCACCATGTAGATGCTAAGAAATGAAACCCAAGCCCTCTATTTTTTTATTTATTTTTTATTTTTTTTAAATATTTATTTATTATGTATACAATATTCTGTCTGTATGCCTGAAGGCCAGAAGAGGTCACCAGATAACATTACAGATGGTTGTGAGCCACCATGTGGTTGCTGGGAATTGAACTCAGGACCTTTGGAAGAGCAGGCAGTGCTCCTAACCTCTGAGCCATCTCTCCAGCCCCCAACCCAAGCCCTCTAAAAGAGCAGTCAGTGCCCTTAACTCCTGAGCCAGCTCTCCAGCCCCAAAGGGACCTTTTTTAAAGCCATCACCTCCTATGTGGTCACTCTTCACTGGCACGTGTTCATTGTCACATCAGCCCTTCCCGAGCTGATTGTCACATGTCCATCATCGCATCAGCCTCTCCCAGAGCAGGTTGTCCTACTCCGCTGACCAGCACCATCCCCAGCTGCTGGCACCAGCCTGGCACAGAGTAGCCAATAGAGGGAGGGTGGGAGGAGGCCCAGGTGGTGACCCGTTGAGTAAGAGAGTGAGTAGATAGAGGATGGCTGGTGGGTGGGTCTATGGGTGGATCCATAGATGAACCGATGGGCAGGTAAGTGGATGATGGATTAGTAGGTAGATGGACAGACATGTAGATGGATAGATGAATGTATAGGTGGGTGAATAAGTGGGCAAGGAATGGGCAAATGAATGGAAGAGCCAGCTTTAGTGTCTGGGTGCTTGATTGTAGGCGGAGAGTCTTACTGTGTAGCCTAGGGAGCACTGGGGTCACAAGTGGGTGCCACCACACCTATTACTAAATGTTGGGTTTTTGTCACACTGGGGGTGAAAGCCAACACTGGAGCATGCTGAGCAGGCCCTGTACTTAGGACCCCCAGACCCATCCTCAGCCTCTGGTTGCTCTTCTGGTTGCAAGCCTGCAGGTCTTTCCAGAGTTCTCCCAGCTCTGAGCTGGGTGCGGTGGGTGCTCGGATAGTGGTTCTGGGGTCTCAGGAGAGCATCGCTGCATCCTAACACCAGGTCCTTTGTAGGTTCCGAATGAAATGCCACCTCTGCGTCAACTACATCGAGATGCAAACAGACCCTGCCAACTGTGACTATGTCATCGTGAGTGGTGCCAGCCGCAAGGAGGAGCGCTGGGATATGGAAGACAATGAGCAGGTGCTGACCACAGGTGAGCACCGCATGCTTGCCCACCCCACGTGACCCCAGGTCGCTTCCCCAGAGTCATGCTTACGTGGTCCTTGCAGAGCATGAGAAGAAAGAGAAACTGGAGACGGACGCCATGTTTCGCCTGGAGCATGGCGAGGCCGACCGCAGCACGCTGAAGAAGGCCCTGCCTACACTCAGCCACATCCAGGAGGCACAGAACGCCTGGAAGGATGACTTTGCTCTGAATAGCATGCTGCGCAGGCGCTTCCGGGTGAGGGAACCCCACAGTGGACATCAGCCGGCTCAGAGCTGGGAGACTGTGGTTCAGACCTGTGTCCCCTCATCCCATTTGCGAGCTGGTCATTTCCCCTCTGAGCACCAGGCTCCCTGTATGCAGCAGAGTCATGTCCCTGCCTAATCTCTTCCTGCTGCTCTAACAAGCATAGCACAGACTGGGAAGTCTAGATTGAGATGGATTAGTCACTGCTGTACAAGCCAGAAGTCTAGCGTTGAGGCATCTACAAATTGACTGTGTACAGAGTGCCTGGTTGGGTTCCTCTGAACTTCCTGCTGGATCCTCAAGGCACAGACAGGACACACAGGCGCCCTGGGGACTCCTGTGTAAGGCACTGACCCCGTTGATGAGGGAGAGCCCTCACGACCTGGTCACTTGCCCAAAGCCTCATGTTGTCAGCCATCACAGAGGGAACGATGTTTCAGCACAAGCAGGAAGCCAGTTTTGGTCATGTCTGTCTGTGCTTCCAGCCACTGGGGGACTGAAGTGGGAGGCTCATCAGAGCCCAGGAGTCAGAGTCCAACCTCAAAAACAGAAAGCTGGGCCTGGCGGCTCGTGCTTATAACCACAATGCTCAGGAAGCTGAGGCAGGGGAACTATTTCAAGTTCCAGGTCCATCTGGGTTGCAAAGGGAGACCATGCTCCTCACCCCAAAAAGTGGGGGGCAAGTAGAAAAAATTTCTAGGACCTCCGAATTACAGTATGGCCCGAGCTTAAGTGTGGTCTTAAATTCTCTGTCCCTGCCTGGACCTCTTGGGACTCCAGGCATGGGCCACCACACCTTCTTTATCACATCTTCCGGAATTTATCTAGTGGGTCACACCTGCAGCCCATCATTGGTCAGCATGTAGTGTTATATAGCACATGGTCATCTTTTTGACATTGAGGGCTTGAGGGACCGAATGCATGAGCCCTGCACATGGGGCCACTTTTGCATCGCAGGTACTGTATGGGCCCTTCCCTTGCTTCAGTGGAGAAGCAGACCCAGTGACTGGAGTGAGACCCATGCGTCTCAAGGAGGCAAGGTTCTGATGTCCCTCCCTATGTGTCACACCCACCCACAGGAAAAAAAGAAAGCCATGCAGGAGGAGGAAGAAAAGGACCAGGCGCTACAGGCGAGGGCCAACTTAGCCATCCCTCTCGTGCCGGAATCAGAGGACGACCGCAGACTGGCTGCCCTGCTCAGGCTGCACACCCTGGACTGTGAGTGGTGGCACTGGACCAGAAGCTTCATGGGAGGCAGAGGTTGCATGCAGGGTTTGGGGGGCACCTGGTCCCTAGGGGACCTTGTTGCTTACAGTGGTGGGGAGAAAGCTCAAGGGGTGTGCATATGCTATGCACACTTTGCCCCTGAACCTCGGACCCTTGCACGATACCTGTTCTTCCCCACAGCCTATGAGGACAAACAGAAACTGAAGCGCACGGAGATCATCCACCGCTCTTGGTTCCCCTCGGCCCAGGGACCCAGTGCTAGCAGCAGCAAAGCTAACACTGTCCTGAAGAAGTTGTGCCAGGGCCGCAGACCACCCCCCAGCACCACGGGCACAGTGGGGGACCTGGGCATAGTGAGGAGAAGGTCTCAAGAAGTTCCAGAAAGTCCCCAGTGTGCAGCAGACAGTCCCTTGTCAGCAGAACCAAGAGGGCCACCAGGAGCCACCCAGGACAGACCTCAAGAGACAGCAGAATCCACGAGGAACTGTAGAGACCAGGCCTTACCCCTGGGTTCCTCCCAGGAGGACCTGCTATGCCCCAGCAACCCCAGTGCCTCCCTGGTGGCTGACTACTCGGACTCAGAGAGCGAGTAAGGGAGTCAGAATTCCAGGGACCAGAAACCATTACTTGTCCAGACCTTACGGACTGCAGGCCTCACTGCTGCCGGCCCAGCCACAGACTTCTCTCCCTATAGAGATCATTATTTATTTAGTTTCGCTGAGGATGTCTGTGCCTTGGTAGAACCCCTGACACCGTAACATTAAAGCCCTGTTCTTTGTCCCTGCCTTGGGTTGCTAAAGTCACCTAGTAGCTGTCCTTCCTTCATTTCCACCCAACTAAGCAGATGCTGCTGCAGCCACTATTATGACAGCAGTGTCCCCACACAGCAGGATGGGGGCTTTGAGATACCGGATCAAGATTGGCCATGGCCTGGGGTGGCATCCTGTATGAGCTGTCAGGGACTACACAGGAAGGTTGAAAGAGGGTCAGGCTGCTGGAGCCACAGACAAAACACTAGAGTTGGGCAGGAAGGACATCCAGGCTGCATGCCATAAGCTGGGGTCAGCCACTCATGATGACCCAGCTAGTAGGGGTGCTTGTGAAACAGCCATCAAAAACACCCTCATCCAGACAGTGCTGAGCACACCCCCAGTAGAGACAAGGTGTGGTCCAGTCCAACCTGGGCTATAAAGAGAAATTCCTGTGTTTGAGTGTGTGGTTTTGTTTTGTGTTTTGTTTGCTTTTTAAGATGGGGTTTCTCTGCCCCTGACTGCCCTGGAACTCACTATGTAGACTAGGGGAACTCAGACTCACAGAGCTCTGCCTCCCAAGTGCTGAGATTAAGGTCTGAGGTTTATTTTTAATTAAGCGTTTGCATTACAAGTATGTTGTCCCACTGAGGTCAGAAGGGGCCTCTCTAACGAGGTAGAGGCAGACATGAAGCCATCTGGGAACCGAACTCTGGTATGAACTCTTAAACCACTCAGCAATCTCTTCAGTCCTTCAGGATAAAAGTTCTTCATTGTACTTGTTTTTGTTTTTCGAGACAGGGTTTCTCTGTGTAACAGCCCAAGCTGTCCTTGGAACTTGCTCTTTTAGACCAACCTGGCCTCGAACTCACAGAGATCCGCTTGCCTCTTGCACCACCATCGCCTGGCTTGTACTTTTAAAGAAATGGGGCTAAAAGTGGTCCAAGGAAGGTCGTTTGTCTCGGTGATTAAGCGCTAAGTGTCTTTGAACCGAAGCCCAGCAAAGCTGAGACTGCCGAATTATCGCTTCAGTAACCGATGAACAGTTCTGGGCAAAAATAAGCCCACCAAGCACCGTAACGCATTTCGCTGCGACACCGGAAGAAGCTAATCGCTGGGCAGCCTGGGCTGCGTGTGTGCACGCGCAAGCGCCAGCAACAGGACGTGGCTCCGCCCCGCAGCCTGTGCGAGCTGCAGTGTCGCCCAACGCGCCAGGCACCATGCGTCTGGAAGCAATTCGCTACTCGCCTGGCTCGCTGCAGATCCTCGACCAGCTGCAGCTGCCTGAGCATTGCCGCTACGAGGCACTGGCTTCGGTGCAGCAGGCCAGGGATGCCATCCGCGCCATGAAGGTGCGCGGCGCCCCCGCCATCGCGCTGGTGGGCTGCCTCAGCCTGGCGGTGGAGTTGCGGGCTGGCGCCGGCGGTCCCGGACTTACAGCTCTGGTGGCCTTCGTGCAAGATCAGCTGCGCCTCCTCGTCGCCGCCAGGCCCACTGCTGTCAACATGGCCCGTGCCGCCCTCGATCTGGCTTACGTGGCAGCTCGGGAGGCGGAGCGGGAAGGCGCCACCGAGGAGACGGTGCGGGAAAGGTACGGGATCCTGGACCGGGCAGTGCAAACAGAAGCCACTGACTCCCTTCTCCCCTTCTACATATACCAGGAAGCAGGCGTGTGCCGTGTCTAGGGCCCACTGGTAGGACTGAAAGTCCATCCCTGCGCCGTGTTCTCCAGGTCCTTGAACTCAGCCCCTTAGCAGCTCCATGCCAGCTTTATGACACCCGTCCGGTTAGGTTTTACCATGAGGTCTTCTACACTCTCTCCTGCTTTCCTCTCTACATTTCTCTTTCCCTTCCCACTTCCGGTCATGCCACTTCATTCTCAGTGTTCTGTTGAACCTGTCAGGTTCCTGCTCCCTCCTCTCCCCTTCTGTAATAACACCTTTGTCCCCAACTCTGCCTTCATGTCCTTCATTTTACCAGGTTACTCGACTGCCTCTCCCACCCTAGTATCATCACCGCAGGGGCAGAGGGTTTGTTGTGTTTGCTACTGTGCCCCACCCCCAGCATCTGGCTCCCATTCACGGGTTTAGTGAGTAGAGTGACAGGTGTATCCCCAGAGAAGGTCCCAGGAGAGCAGCTAGCCTGGTCATTTCCAGCAGTGCTAAGAGCACCTATTGTCCCCAGAGTCATCCGCTTCGCTGAGGATATGTTGGAGAAAGACCTCAGAGATAACCGGAACATCGGGGACTTGGGAGCCCGCCACCTCCTGGAGCACACCAACCCCAGGGGTGGCAAGGTGACCGTGCTGACACACTGTAACACTGGCGCTCTGGCTACTGCTGGCTATGGTACAGCCCTAGGTGAGGCAGCACCGTCAATTGTTGGGGCGTGGGAGGGTCTTTTTGGGGTGCATGGCAAAGCACCTTGAACTTGGGGTGTTGCTCAATGGCAAGAGTACCTGCTCAGCTGGGGCTGGGTCAGCAGTTAAGAGTTGGACTTAAGGTCTGGAGAGAAGGCTCAGTGGTTAAGAGCATTGCCTGCTCTTCCAAAGGTCCCGAGTTCAATTCCCAGCAACCACATGGTGGCTCACAGCCATCTGTAATGAGATCTGGTGCCCTCTTCTGGCCTGCAGACATACACACAGACAGAATATTGTATACATAATAAATAAATAAATAAATTTAAAAAAAAAAGAGTTGGACTTAATTAAAGCAAGCCTTTAATCCCAGCACAGAGATCCCAGAGACGGGCGGATCTCTGTGAGTTCAAGGCCAGCTTGGTCTACACAGCAAATTCCAGGGCAGGCTCAAAGCTACAGAGAAACCCTGTACTCAAATTACTTCAGCCACAGAAATGTGGATTTTGGTTTGGTTTTTTTCAAATACCACACAGTATCAAAAGATGGTGTTGGATCCTCTGAAGCTGGAGGTAAAGGTGGTTGTGAGCCTCCACCTGGATGTTAGGAACCAAGTCAGGCCTTCTGAGAACAGAAGTGCTCTTAACCACTGTCTCCAGCCCAGGGTATTAGTTTGTTGTTGCTGTTTTCCCTACCCCTGTAGATTAGTTTCTGTACACAGACACTGGAAACTTGTTTGCAGGTGTGGGTATATCAAGGGTTTCAACCAATGGCGTTAGGGCACTATCCCTCATTTTGCCCATGGATTGAAGTAATTCTGCTTTCAGAGACTAGAAACTTCCCTGGGTCACCTGCCTGACTTCGGCTACATGCCTGGAGAAGGGGCATGGTGTTGACTTCCAGAGGACTGGGAACAGAGGGACATACCCTGAGTAGGACTGGGGAAGCTGTGACCAGGACAAGGACATAGGGATTTGGGAATCAAGGCAGCAGAGTCGTCCTGGCCCCTGGCTGTCCAGGAAGCTCTCCTGTCTGCCTAAGTCCAGCACTGGATCCTGGGAACCCAGGTCTTCAGAACAAGGCTCATGTGCCCCGTTCATTGACTCCGCCAGCATTCACCGAGCAACTACTCACTTCCAGGGAGAGGAAACACAGCTATGAACTGTGGAAGAGATGCCAGGCATCTGCAGCCTGGGGTACAGGGGAATGACAAAGGACTTAGAGGTGGAGGTCGGTAGTGGGGCACCGCTGGGCATCCTCCATTAAGGAGCTGGGTGTGTGGGTCAGCTCTAAGCACCTGCTGCCCAATGCAATGTCATGCGTTCCATCTATCCCCAATACCGCAGAACAAACAAGAAATAAATAAATTATTAGAAGGTACTAAAGCGCCTCAGCAGACTGGGGCAAGAAGATCATATTTGAAGAGTTAATCAGAGTCATATAGCAAGACCCTGTCTCAAGAGTGTTGAACATCCTAAATGACAAGGACAGGGCAGGGACTAAAGATCAGAGGGGTGGGGCTGCCTTGTGAGACTGAGGAATCGCGGGGTATCAGAAAGTGGATATAAAGATGGTAAAAGTCAGGCACAGGAATAGCTACAGCAAAGGCTGGAGGCCATATGAGCCTCAGCACTTGCAGCCCAGTCTCAGGGCCACCCTGCTTGTCTTGTGGCTGCCCCGCAGGTGTGATCCGCTCCCTACATGAGATGGGCCGACTGGAGCATACCTTCTGCACAGAGACCCGGCCCTACAACCAGGGAGCCCGGCTGACAGCCTTCGAGCTGGTGTATGAGCAGATTCCTGCTACTCTCATCACGGACAGCATGGCCGCTGCTGCCATGGCGCACCAGGGTGTATCAGGTCAGTGGGCTGGACACAGTGGGCCAGGTAGTGCTGTGGGCATCCCAAGCCAGGTATGTGACTTTTCCAACTCTCCCTCACTCCCCCAGCTGTGGTAGTGGGAGCTGACCGTGTCGTTGCCAATGGAGACACAGCCAACAAAATAGGCACGTACCAGCTGGCCATTGTTGCCAAGCACCACGGCATCCCCTTCTACGTGGCTGCCCCCAGCTCATCCTGTGACCTCCATCTGGAGACTGGCAAGGAGATTGTCATAGAGGAGCGCCCTAGCCAGGAGCTGACTGACCTGAATGGAATCAGGATTGCGGCACAGGGTAAGGTGTGGGTGTGGCACTCGGTACTGTGGGCCTCAGTGGCAGGAGCTGCTTTGCTCATTCAAGCTCCTCAGCGGGATTCTGGTGGTGGAGGTTAAATTCGAAGTCAGACTTCGTAAACAGTGCTTGGTAGCTGAAGGTGGGGCTCAGAGGTAGAGTGTTGGAGTGGGGACTTAAGTTTGGTGCCCAGAACCAACTCTTTAAAAAGACAGCTGTGGTGGCACAGGTGTTTTGTTTGTTTGTTTTTGTTTTGATTTATTTATTAGACAGGGTTTCTCTGAGTAGATAGCCTTGACTATTCTGAAACTTGCTTTGTAGACCAGTATAACCTTGAACTCACAGAGATCCATCTGCCTCTGCCTCCCAAATCCTGGGATTAACGGCACTCTCCACCACCGCCCAGCATGGCACAGGTTGGTTGGTTGGTTGGTTTTTCGAGACAAGGTTTCTCTGGGTATCTTTGGCTGTCCTGGAACTCACTCTGTAGACCAGGCTGGCCTCGAACTCACAGAGATCCACCTACTTCTGCCTCTGGGTGCTGGGATTAAAGGCATGTGCAACCACACCCAGTTTATGGCACAGGTTTATAATCCCAGTGCTGGGGAGAAAGAGAAGGCAGATCCCTGGAGCTTCTAGCCAGTCCCAGGTTCAGTGAGAGACCCTGTCTCAAAGAGTAAACTGGATGGTTCCTGAGGAATCAAAGCTGAGGTTGGCTGCTAACCTCTATAGGCAAGAGCACATGCGCACACACACACACAACAGTGCTGGAGTGGTGGTGTAACCCTGTAAGCCCAGCATTCCGGAAGCCCAGGCAACAGAGCCGCACAGGCTCAAGACAAGGCAGTAGAAGAGAATTTCAGGCTAGTGTGTTCTGCCAAGTGAGGCTCTGTCTGAACAAGCGTCTACACAGACAGCCAGAGACGATGGAACATAGCAGGGCTCCCAGCATTGGACTGAGGCAGGAGGGCTGCTGAGAGTTCAGGATTATACTGGGCTACATAATGAGACCCCATCAGAAAATCAGAAAGAGCCAGGTAGTGGTGGCACACACCTTTGATCCCAGCACTGGAGAGGCAGAGGCAAGTGAATCTCTGAGTCTGAGGCCAGCCTGGTGTACAGAGCGAGTTCCAGAACAGGCTCCAAAGCTAAAGGGACCAAGGATGTGACTAAGACATGGAACACTTGTCAGAATGCACAAGGCCTGAGATTCCAATATACATCAAAAACTTCTTACATTAAAAATAATCAAAATACATTGTATACACATAAGAAAGTCTTAAAGAATAAACAAGATATTTTCAAGTCATTTGCTGATCTCGGTGGTACACACCTGATGAACCTAGGGGGTAGAGGCAGGAAGACGAGGACTTCAAAACCAGCCTCGACTACATAGAAAATTTGAGGCCAGCCCAAGCTACGTGTATGACCCTGTGTTAGACAAGTAATTACATATTTTTTTAAAAAATATTTATTTATTTATTTATTATGTATACAATATTCTGTCTGTGTGTATGTCTGCAGGCCAGAAGAGGGCACCACACCCCATTATAGATGGTTGTGAGCCACCATGTGGTTGCTGGGAATTAAACTCAGGACCTTTGGAAGAACAGGCAATGCTCTTAACCACTGAGCCATCTCTCCAGCCCCTAATTACATATTTTTTAAATTGACTTTGAAAACATCTATGAAGGACTCCTCCCCGTGCTCAGAATCCCAAAAAACAGATTCTGAAGGTCTTAAAATCTTTGGAGCCTGCAAGATTGGGGACCAGAAGACTGAGGCCTTCTTGAGCAGCAGGAACTGTGGCTGTGTTACTAGCTTCAGTACCTGCACTGTCTTGAACTATTTGGTATGGTGAATACCTAGATTCTCAAGGACTTTTTTTTTATTTATTATGTATACAATATTCTGTTTGTGTATATGCCTGCAGGCCAGAAGAGGGCACCAGACCTCATTACAATTGGTTGTGAGCCACCATGTGGTTGCTGGAAATTGAACTCAGGACCTTTGGAAGAGCAGGCAATGCTCTTAACCACTGAGCCATCTCTCCCGCCCTCTCAAGGACTTTCTAACCCCAGCCAGGCAGTGGTGGCTCACACCTTTAATCCCAGCACACCCGAGGCAGAGGCAGGTGGATCTCTGTGAGTTCGAGGCCAGCCTGGTCTACAGAATGAGTCCCAGGACAGGCTCCAAAGCTACAGAGGAAACCTTGTCTCCAAAAAAAGAATTGCTGTGGTGAGGACAGGCAATAGCAGCCAGGGTGTTCTCAGGGCCAGCCCTGCCTTACATGCCCTCCCTCTCTCTCTGCAGGAATCCGGGTTTGGAATCCTGCCTTTGATGTCACCCCCCATGAACTCATCACTGGTGGCATCATCACTGAGCTGGGTGTCTTTGCCCCTGAGGAGCTCCAAGCAGCCCTAAGTGCCTCCATCTTCTCAGAGGGACAGACCCTAGATAGTCCCCAGATGTGACTCCCCGACCTTCCCTGGTTCCTCTGATTTTGTAATAAAGTTTTCAAATGGCTACCCCAAAGCTCATCCTCACCCATACCCCTCCTCCAGCTGCTAGAGCAGACGAGATTTACCCAGCTCTGCAGAGTCCCAGCATCCACAACAAAGCTGCCCACGATCACATTCCGGCTCCATCCTTTGTATGACTGATGCCAAGGCAGGTGTCAGGGGGTACACACCTGTAATCCCAGCTCCTGGGAAGCTGAGGATGGAGGATTTCTTTGTGTTTTAGGCTACTCTGGGCTACGGATTGAAAAACAAAACAGAAAACCAATGTAGGGATAATCAGAATGATCTTAGCTGTCTTTGAACTACTTGTTTGTTTTGATTTTTTTTTTTTCCAAGACAGGATTTTTCTAGGTCACCTTGGATGTCCTAGAACTCTGGGCCATGCTGGCCTTTAATTCATAAAGATCCTGTCTGCCTCTGCCTCCCAAGTCTGGGATTAAAGGCATGCACCCCTACCACCTGGCCATTTATTTTATGTGTGAGTGCTTTACTTGCAAGTGCCTGGTGCCCTCTGAGGCCAGAAAAAGACTGGATCCTCTGGGCCTGGATGGTTGTGAGCTGCCATGTGGGTGCTGGAAACAAAACCCAGGTCCTCTCTGCAAGAGCAACAAGTGCTCTTAAAGAGGACACCAAAATTCAGTAATCAAGATAAATGTTTGTCTTTTTTTTTAATATTTATTTACTTATTATATATACAATATTCTGTCTGTGTGTATGTCTGCAGGCCAGAAGAGGGCACCAGACCTCATTCCAGATGGTTGTGAGCCACCATGTGGTTGCTGGGAATTGAACTCAGGACCTTTGGAAGAGCAGGCAATGCTCTCAACCACTGAGCCATCTTTCCAGCCCCCAAATGTTTGTCTTTTTAAGACAGCATCTTTATATCTCCCTGGCTGGCCTGGAACTCACAGAGATCCTCCTGCCTCTGCCTCCTGAGCAAAGGGTGAAAAGTGTGAGCCACTACAACCTGCTTTGCTTTAATGTTGTGAGAGTATCTGGACCTGGAACTCCACCATTAGGTGTGGCTACAGGGACTCTCCTGTCTTCAGTCCCCTCAGCACTAGGATCGAGGTATGAGCGCGGTCACTCATTGAGGATGGAACTCAGGTCCTCACGCATGAACAGGAAGCACTTTACCTGCTGAGTGATAATCCCTACCACCAGACATATTTTAAATCTTTTAATATCGAAAAGAAGCTGGGTGGTGCTGGCGCATGCCTTTAATCCCAGCACTCAGGAGGCAGAGGCAGGGGGACCTCTGAGTGCGAGGCCAGCCTGGTCTACAAAGTGAATTCTAGACAGTTAGGTCTTACACAGAGAAACCCTGTCTCAGAAACCCAAATATAAGCCGGGGGAGGGGGGGGGTGCACGCCTTTAATCCCCCCAGCACTCAGAAGGCAGAGGCAGGTGGATCTCTGTGAGTTTGGGGCCAGCCTGGTCTACAAAAGCTAGTTCCAGGACAGGCTCCAAAGCTACAGAGAAACCCAGTCTTGAAAAAAAACAAACAAAACCAAATATATCTAATTATTGAAAAGATCATAACTGATGCTGTGACTGTGGCTGCTTTTGTACTGCGAGTGTGAAGCTAAGCCATCCCAGCACAACTGCAAAATTAATGTATCATGATAGCCTAAGGGTTTATGACCTGTTTATTTATTATGTGTGTGAATGTGGTTAAAAGACAGTCTGAAGGAGTCAGTTCTCTGACTGATTAAGCGAATGCACCAACACCCAGGATTGAACCGAAGTGATTTGACACGGCGGCGGCAAGCGCCTTCACCCCCAGGGCCGTCTCCCCAGTGACTACTTAAGTTTTTTGGCACTCCCTTAATTTTCCACCTTGCTTGTCTCACCCCAAGCCTAATTTGAACCTTTATGTATAAGAAGCACAAACCATCGCATTTTATAATACATAAGTGTCCTGACCCCTGAAAATAGTAACATAATTTTCCTTTGAATTCTTGGACAGCCTTTCCTCTAAGAGTACCGCTCTGGGTCCACTGAGGCCTTAAGGGCCCACTGTAGCCAGTGACGTCATGCGGAGTTCCGGCTCTCCTGCACGTCGCCCCTCCTCTTCCGACTCGTGGTACAACATGGCGCAGGGACAGCGTAAGTTTCAGGCGCAGAAACCTAAAAGCAAGGCTGCAGCTGCGGAGCGGAGCCGAGGGCTGAGGAAAGGCGGTGAGGAACCGAGTCGGGAGGAGGGCGCGAGGGCGGCGGAGCTAGGGGAGGGCGGCCACGTCTCACTGGCTGGTGTCACTCCGCAGGTCGAGTCATCGCTCCCAAGAAGGCGCGCGTCGTGCAGCAGCAAAAGCTGAAGAAGGTGAGCGGAGCGCAACGGTGGTGACCCGGGATGGGAGCGGGCGGACTGGACTCCCGGTTCTGAGTCTGTCCTCCCTTGTTCGGTGGATCCAGACCCGCACTTAGCTTCTGAGGGGTTCAGATGTGTGTTAAGTGCTGTCAGCCGGTAGCCTCGGGTTTTGTGCTTATTTTATATGTGTATTAGTGTTTTACCTGTGTGTGCGTGCATCAAGTGTGTGCCTGGTATCAGAAGAGAATGCCCAATCCCCCAGAGCTAGAGTTAGTGACGATTTTGAGCCGTCACGTGTGTTCTGGGAACTGAACGGTGTTTTTAGGGATCACAAGTGCTGCTGGCGGGCGTGGTAGCCACGCCTTTGATCCTTACACGCTCTGGCAGATCCGGGCTGATCTCCGAATTCAAGGCCAGCCTAGTCTATTTATTTTAATTATATGTGGGTGGGTGGGTGGGTGTGAGCCCATGCCCAGAGAAGCTAGAAGTACTGGCTGCTTTTCCACTGGATCTCAATTCAGTTTCTAGCACCCACATGGCAGCTCATAACCACCTGTAACGGCCCCAGGGGATTTCCAATGCCATCTTTTACAGGCACTGCATGTATGTGGTACACAGATATACATGTGAGCAAAACACTCATACATATAAGTAAAAAATTAATTAGGAAAATTAGAGGCTCTAATCTGGCTTAATCTTGAATAGATCATTCTATCTCCCCAGATATCTCCTAGGCAGGTTACCCAGAAGCCTACTCTGCTCCTTGAGGTACCCACTCTCAGGTCCTTAAGTGAGTTCTCTCCACAATCTGCCGCGGGACCACTTTGCTTCCTTGAACTCAGTTCCTATCCAGTGTAGTCCTTTTAGCATACATCCAGAATCCACCTACTTCTGCCACCTCTCACCCACCTTCCAGGTTGGAGCCTAGTCGACTTTATCCTCTCCTGCTGTAGCTGCTGAGGCATCTGCCTCTGCCCATAACCCTCCATGGTCCTCACTGCCTTCATCCTTTTTTCTGTCCCTCTGGTCTTACTGGCCCTTTAAGGACTCTTTGTCCCGCTGCTAGATGTGTTCTTTTCACCTGTGCATGGTAACACACAGGCCCATAGTTGTAAGTCAAGGCAAGGGAAGCTTGAATCTAAAGCCGTTCTCAAAGAACAAAAGGAAGGGTGTGTGTGTGTGTGTGTGTGTGTGTGTGTGTGTGTGTGTGTGTGTGTTCAAGCTGGGGAGAATAAGGACTTGCTCTGTGTCCCCCACAGAGCTTGGAAGTGGGGATCCGGAAGAAGATTGAGCATGACGTGGTGATGAAGGCCAACTCTAGCCTGCCTAAGAAGCTTACACTGCTGAAGGGTGCATCAAAGAAGACAGGGGCCACCACCTCCAACAAGACACCATCCTAAAGGCACTGGGACTTTGCACGTGACCCCACAGGCTGGCCGGACCTGAAGAGGACCCTGTTCCAGTTCTGATGGCACCTGGGACAGCAATGGGCAGGTGATGATAAAGCTGGAAGCTTCCTAGTCCTGAAGAGGCACTCGACTTCCTGTGGGTGACACGTTGTAATGAGCCTGGCTCTGTTGTCCTGCCAGCTCTCAAACAGTTCAATTGAGAGGCCATTTGGAGGCTAGGTGAGCCTCACTGGTCTCCACAAGAAACTTCTCCCGCCCATGCAGTGCCCTTGACAGCCACAGGCCCCAGAACGAGCGATGACATCTATACCTGTAGCTGGCAGCTGGGAATTGTCTCTTCCCCGGGTCACTCCAGTCACCTAGTGTTGTCACTGTCCTGTAAATAAAGAAAGGTTCCATATCTTCAGTGAGATGCCACCTCATCCTGTCACACTAGTGATCCAGAGCCACTTGGGGGTGCTCCAGTGTTACCCAATAGCTGTGCTCACAGAGGCTGTGTGCCATTCTTGTGCCTTCCTGCACTACCTACTGACACTCTGGAACCGAGACCTGGTCAGCTCAGCCACCCTTCTCCACGGCACAGCTCTGCTTCTGTCCAGTGCGGGGCTCACACCCTTGGCAGTCCCTCCAACCTGTTGGACCAGATGTTGAAATGTTCTATGCAGGATGCTGGACGTGGTGCCATGTCCCTTGGTGTGGCCCTGAAACAAGCGATGAGTACGCTGGTGGCCTATTCCTTTATGCCCAGCCAGTTTGCCTACTGAGGAAGCAGAAAAGTGGGGGTTCACTAGTGACTGCCCCAAGCCCTGACTGGGTAAATTTGTTCCCAGACAGTTGGAATTTAATATTAAGACTGTCTGATGCTCCCGTTTTGGCTCCTGGCTCACCGTGGCTGCTAGGGATCAGATCCACTTGTGTGTGCTTAGCGAGCTGTCTGAGCCACACCCTAGTCTAAGCTCCCAGTGCACTTGCAAGGCAGAGAAAGGACCTGCTGGACTTTAGTCCTGCCAGGACACAGATGCTCTGCTCTGAGCATGGAGGGCTCCTTTAGAGGCTGTGGCTTACTTCAAGGTTGAACCTTGAAGGGCTTGTTAGTGCCTCTGGCTTGTGGTGAAGCACCTCACCACGTCTACCTTTTGGTACCCTCGCCACAGATCCCAAGAAATGGGTCCATTCCATTGTGGATACAGACCCAGAACCATGAGCTCATCAGTGGCCTTCCTTGGATTTAGTTTGGTTTTCTGAGACAGGGTCTCCCTGTGTAGCCCTAGCTGGCTTAGAACTCACTGTGTAGACCAGGCGGGCCTCAAACTCAAGAGCTGTACATGTTTCTGCCTCCCACGTTCTGAGATTACAGGGCATTGTGTCTCTGTGTATGTGCACATGAGTCTGGGTGTCTTGGGAGGCCAGGGGCAGCCTGTGCTATGAAGCTGGAATCGGGTGGCTGTGAGCCACCCTACATGGGTGTAAGGAGTGGAAGCTGTTAGCTACTGGGCTTGTGTTCTAGCCCTGCAGGTGCTTTGAGGCAGGCAGACTTCTGGAGGTGTCCAAGCTGTCTAGGGCTCCATAAACCCTGTCTCAGAAAAGAAAAAAAAAAAACTACTCAGCTGCTGTCATGTAAGCTAATCCAGTAAATGTCCCTTCGTGTTATATTCTATTGGTTCCCCCAGAGCACCCTGCAGAGCAAATGTTCCACGGGTGCTTGGACTAGCGTTGATGGAATGCTTTAAACTAGCACAGAGGCAGAAACAGCCTGCCTTTGCAGTAATCTGCTCCGGCCACAGTGGAATATTTTTCAGCCATAAAAGTGGGACGGCGCCAGGCAGTGGTGGCCTTTAATCCCAGCACTTGGGAGGCAGAGGCAGACGGAGGCTGCACTTCCATTTCCCAGCTACCCAGACCCTAATAATCACACAGAAACTATAATTACAACACTGTTTGGCCAATGGCTCAGACATATTTCTAGCTAGCTCTTACATCTTTAACCCATTCTATTAGTCAATGTATTGCCACTTGGCTATGGTGTAACTCATTTTCTACATGTCTTGTTTCCTCAGAGGCTGACTGGTTTTTTGTTTGTTTGTTTGTTTGTTTGTTTTTCGAAGCAGGGTTTCTCTGTGTAGCTTCAGGGTCTGTCCTGGAACTAACTCTTTTTTTTTTTTTTAATATTTATTTATTATGTATACAATATTCTGTGTGTATGCCTGCTGGCCAGAAGAGGGCACCAGACCTCATTACAGATGGTTGTGAGCCACCATGTGGTTGCTGGGAGTTGAACTCATGACCTTTGGAAGAGCAGGCAGTGCTCTTTACCACTGAGCCATCTCTCCAGCCCCCGGAACTAACTCTTGTAGACTAGACTGTCCTCGAACTCACAGAGATCCTCAGAGGCTGGCTGGTATCTACCTGACTACCTTCTTTCTCCTCTATCTCTGCTCGGATTTCCCACCTTGCTGTATTCTACCCTGCCAAAGGCCAAAGCAGTTCTTTATTAACCAATGGTAATAAAACATTCACAGCATATGGGGGGGGGGATCCCACACCAGATCTCTGAGTTCGAGGCTGACCTGGTGTACAGAGCGAAATCCAGGACAGGCTGCAAAGCTACACAGAGAAACCTTGTGTCAAAAAACAGAACCAAAAAAAAAAAAAAAAGGAGTGGGGGTTGGGCTGGAAAGTAGCTCAGTGGGTAAAAATTTACCACCAGGTTTGACCACCTGAGTTCAGTTCCCAAAGCCCACATAGGGAAAAGAAGAGAATCAACTAAAGTTGTCCTATGACCCGCACACCTGCATCGGCCTGCACATGCTCACACACTCATCATAAATAAGTGCAAATAAAGGTAAAATGAAGGCTTGGGAAGATGACGCAGTTCGTTGGTTGAGAGCGCCTGCTGCTGTAGAGGACCCAGGTCAGCTCACAACGCCTGTAACTCCTGTGCCCTTGCTCCTCCATGGGCACTTCATGCAGTGTGCTCACATGCATGAAGACATCAGAAGTCTTTGAAGTGTGCCAAGTGTGCTGGTACATGCCTTTGATTCCAGCATTGGAAGGCAGAGCAGGGTGGATTTCTGTGAGTCCAAAGCCAGCCAGGGCTACAGGGAAAGACCCTGTTTCCCACCCTTCTCTCCCCCCCCCAAAAAAAGATGAAATATGGGGAGAAGGGTGGGAGGAGGGGGAAGGAAATGGGAGGCTGGGAGGAGGTGGAAACTTGTTTTTTTTTCTCCTTTTCTCAATAAAAAAAAAAGTTAAAAAAAAGATTATCAAAGATTATCAGAATCATTATGGTTTACTAATAAAAATAAATCCTTCAAAACAAACAAAAAGAAAAGATGAAATAAAAGTGCTGATCCAGGCTACCACTTAGATGAGCCCCAGAAACACAATGCAGATGCTGGGTATCGTGCTTACACACCCATAAACTCAGCACTCAGGGAAAGAAGGAAAACCAAGAAAATTAAGATTAGCCTCCACTAAATAGTTCAAGGCTACTTGAGACTTTGCTAAAAAAAAAAAAAAAATTAAATGGTCTGGTGGTACATCCCTTTAGTCCCAGGGCTCAGGAGGCAGAGGCAAGGAAGTCTCTGAAGTTGCCTTTGTAACAAAACAGACACAGAAGGAGAAACAGGTATGGTTCTATGACAGGGCAGAGCATGCAGATGGCTGCCTGGGTGAAGAGAGGCATGGTGGCGGGTAAACACTGGATGTTCTTCTGGCCTATGGGTTCTGAAACTAAACAGGTGAGCTTTCTATTATACTGGGAATGTACTGACCATGGCAAACGTCTTTTATGATAGGTGAATACGCTAGACTCACCAGCTTGATGTCTGACATCAACAGCTCCTCTGGAGTCCCCATGCAAACTGCAGAACACCTCATCCTCACCTAGAAAGACTGGCAAGCCTTTAATCCCAGCACTCGGGAGGCAGAGGCAGGCGGATCTCTGTGAGTTCGAGACCAGCCTGGTCTACAAGAGCTAGTTCCAGGACAGGCTCCAAAACCACAGAGAAACCCTGTCTCGAAAAACCAAAAAAAAAAAAAAAAACGACTGGCAAACCAGGGGCTTGCAGGGTGCCCGTGACTATGGAAGACTTACTTAAAATGAACTAAGAAACGTTTAGGAATGGTTAAATTCAGGACCATCCACACAGTCAAACAAGATCACACTGGCTCTGTGGGCTCTGTGGACACACACATTTTAACACCCCTACCTCCAAAAACTGTAGCCATGATGGTAGTGGGCACCTATAAACCTGCACTTAGAGGGCTGAGGCAGGAGGATCATCAGCAGTGTGAGGCCTGCCAGCTCAGCTTGGGCTATAGAGTTAAGACTATCCAAACGCCAAGAGCTGGGGTATCTGTGGTAGAGAGCTAGCCTGCCTCTGGCAAGGCCCTCGGTTCCATCCCAGCACCACACACAGGAAAGAAGGGTGAGAGCTGACCAGTATTCCAGGGGCTGCAGTCTGGCTCCTGCATTCTTGTGCACCAGGAAGAACTGAAGAAAGACCCAGACTCATTGGGAGTGGAGCTCCATAGGGGTCAGCCTCTTTCCTCCCCTGTCCCTAAGGGACTGGTCTCTAACCCCAGAGCCACACCCTCGTCCCACTTGGGAATCAGGGCTCTGAGTCACCTGTGACCACCTCAGTGGATAGCCTCCTTCCTTTAAGGTGGGGCTCCTTAGCACGACTGCGTGCTTCATGCTTCTCAAGCTGCCTAACTCTGTTCTTCTAAAGAAACAACTGGGGGGGGGGGGGGCTGAAGAGATGACTCAGAGGTTAAGAGCACTGACTGCTCTTCCGGAGGTCCTGAGTTCAATTCCCAGCAACCACATGGTGGCTCACAAACATCTGTAATGAGATCTGGTGCCCTCTTCTGGCCTGCAGCATGGAGACAGAACGCCAAGAGCTGGGGCCTGGTGGTGGTGGCACACGCCTTTAATCTGAGCACTCGGGAGGCAGAGGCAGGAGGATCTCTGTGATCGTGATCGAGGTCAGCCTGGTCTACAAGAGCTAGTTCCAGGGCAAGCTCCAAAACTACAGAGAGACCCTGTCTCGATAAAACAAAAAAAAAAAAAAAAAAAAAAAAAAAAGGGAAAAGAAAAGAACCATCTGGGGCCTACAAGATGGCTCAGCAAATAAAAGGGCTTGCTGCCAAGTCTGATAACCTGAGCTTGATCCCCAGAACCCACATGGTGGAAGGCAAGAACTGATTCCCACAGATTCCTCTCTGACTGTCACATACATGCCATGGCACTTGTGCACATACAAAAAGAATTGTTTAAGAGAATCTGACCGGGTGGTGGTGGTACACGCTTTTAATTCTAGCGCTCGGGAGGCAGAAGCAGGCAGATCTATATGAGTGAGTTCTGGGATAGCCAGAGCTAAACAGAAACCCTGTCTTGGAAAA